CTTTATTCTACTTTTGGGGGTTTTAGTTTGCGATTCTTCTTCTAGCCTCTTGAGATACATGTTTAGATGATTCATTTATTTTTATTTTTTCAGGGACTTTTTATTTATTTGCTTATTTATTTGTCTGTCACCTATCTGCTTATCTTTTTATTTACTTTCAGAGAACCCGCTGTTAAATCTTCACCAGCACACCACTGCCCCTGGGGTTGCAGGATGTGGGTGATTCATTTTAATGATTTCTTTTTTCTATTTGCATTTAAGGCCATAAGTTTGCTGCTACATACAGCTTTAGTTGTACCCTACAAATTTAATCAGAGGGATAGATAGAAACCAGAGAATATAGAACCTTATAGATCATCATAAGGATCTTTTTTTCCTAAATGTCATGGGAAACTATTAAAGGGATTTGAAAGCAAAAGTTATATGAAATCATTTAGATATGTTGTGCTTAGTGGAACAAGAAAGTAAGCAGGTGACCAATTTGAGAGCGACTGCAGTAGTAAAATAGTAGTAGCTCAGACTGTGATAGAAATGATAGTAATAACTGATCAGAAGTTATTATACATATTAAAGAATAAGTTGACCATGCTTGCTAATGGATTGTAAGTTTGATAAGAATTAAAGAACTAGGCCTTTGGCTTAACGTATTGGTAAAAAAAGGTGGTTGCATTTACTGAGTTTAAGCTAGTGTGATGAAAAAAGGGAGAATTGAAAGTTCTCTCTGGACAAGTTATGATTGAAACACTTATTACATAGTATTTGAAGATTTCAAGTAGGCAGTTAGATTAATGTGGAACTCAGGGATAAGATAAAAGCTAGAAGTATACACAAAAGAACACATAAAATAAAAAGTTAACCTATGGAATAGGAGAAAACATTTATAAATCATATATCTGACAAGGGGTTAATATTCAGAATGTATAAAGAAATTCTACAACTCAACATCAAAGAAACCGAACAACTCAATTAAAAAAGGGGGAAAGGATTTTAATAGACATTTCTTCAAAGAAGATAAACAAATGGCCTGCAAACAGTATGTGAAACAGTATGATCGTTCCTCAAAAAAAAAATCAAAAATAGAATTACTAAATGATCCAGCAATTCCACTTCTGGATATATAACCAACAGAATTGAAAACAGCAGCTTTCAATCATTCAGAAATCATTCATTTTAATCATTCATTTTAATGATTTCTTTTTAACGAATGATTTCAATGCTTCAGATTGTGTCTCCCTCCCTCTCTCTTTGCCCCTCCCCCACTCATGCTTTTTTATTTGTATACCCATGTTTTTAGCAGCATTATGTACAATAGCCAAAGGTTGGAAGCAGCCTAGGTGTTCATCAACAGATGAGTGGATCAACAAAGTGTGTGTGTGTGTGTGTGTGTGTGTGTGTGTGTACACATATATAATGTAATGTTATTCAGCCTTAAAAGGGAAGTATTCTGACACACACTACAACATGGATTAGCATGTTGAGGACATTATGCTAAGTGAAATAAACCAGTCACAAAAAGATACTGTATGATTTCACTGATATGTAGTATCCAGATTAATCAAATCCATAGAAACAGAAGTAGAATGGCGGGTGCCAGGAACTGGGGGAGGAAAGGGTGGAGAGGAGTTATTAGTAAGCTCAGAGTTTCAGTTCTGCAAATTGAAAAAGTTCTGGAGGTTGGTTGTACAAAAATGTGAACATACTTAACACTACTGAATTATATAGTTAAAAATAGTTAAGATGTTAAATTTTATGTTATGTGTATTTTGCCACAATCAAAATTTTAGAGTTATAGGGCCACCTGGATGGCTCAATCGGTTGAGTGACCAACTTTGGCTCAGGTCATGATCTCACGGTTTGTGGGTTTGAGCCCTACATCGAACTCACTGCTGTCAGCATGAAGCCCTCTTCAGATCCTCTGTCCCCCTCTCTCTGCCCCTCCCCTACTTGTGCTCTCAAAGATAAATTAAAGAATATTTTTTAATCTAGAGTTATAAATTTAAGACTTAGGAGTATAGGACTAGAATTTAAGCCAGACCTGTTACAGGGAAAGAGTATATAGATTGATGGCTAGCCAGAGCCTGGGTTCTGGGACATTCTGATAGTTAGAGGGCAGGTAGTAAATGCATTAAGGGGAACTGAATACAAAGAGAAAGGTAGGAAGATAACTAGGAGAATATGGTATATAGGAAGTTGAGGGATTGATCATTTGTGTCAAATACTGCTAATGAGTCAAGTAGAGTGATGACTAGCACTAGAGCACTGATTTTGACAAAGAGATTTTGTTAGTGACTTTAGCTAGAAATTTTTCAACATAATTATGGGAGTTGAGATATTTATTGGAGTGGATTACAGAGAAAGGTAGGCAGTACTGTCTTTTCAGTAAATGGTGCTGAGCCAATTGGATAAATATATGAAAAACTAGGCTTCTAGGGGCACCTGGGTGGCTTAGTCAGTTAAGCATTCGATTTTGGCTCAGATCATGGTCTCATGGCTCATGAGTTTGAGCCCTGCGTCAGGCACTGTGCTGACAGCTCAGAGCCTGGAGCCTGCTTCAGACTCTGTGTCTCCCTCCCTCTTTCTTTGCCCCTCCCCCACTCGTGCTCTGTCCCTCTCCCTCAAAAATAAACGTTAAAAAATTTTTTTTAAATAAAAAAACAACAGCAACAAAGAAACTAGGCATCTTGATTCCTATCTCACATCATAAAATGTAATGTAGGTAGATTATAGATCTACATATGAAAAGTAAAATAGCAAACGCTTCTAGAATACAGTATTTTTCATGACCTTGGGATTAGACTGCCTTAAAATTAAGAACTTCTGTACATCAAAACATAGTATTAAGAGAGTGAAAGTGCCAGCCCCAGAGTGTGAGAAGATATTTGCAATATGTTGGTTGTATTCAGAATATATTAAGAATTCCTACAAAGAAAACAATACAACCCAGAAACAACTCAAGTGACCCTTGACTGATGAATGGATAAGCAATATATGGTATATCTATACAATGGAATATTACTTGGCCATAAAAAAGGAATGAAGTACTGGTTGATCCTTGAAAACATTATACAGAGTGAAAAAAGACCCAAAAGGTCACATATTGTATGATTCCATTTGTATGAAATGTCAGAATAGATTCATAGAGATACAAAGCAGATTAGTGGTTGCCAAGGGCTGGGAAGAATAGGGGAATAGAAAATGACCATGGGCATGGGGTTCTTCTTGGCATGATGAGAGTTTTCCGGAATTAGTGATCTGATGGTTATACAACATTGAGAATGTATTAAAAGTTACTGAATTGTATACTTCAAAATGGTGAAACTGGTAGATTTTATGTTATATGAATTTTAACACACACACACACACACACACACACACACACAGTCAGTAAAAATGGACAAAAGACCTGAGTTGGCATTTATTAAAAGAGATATCCAATTGGCCAATAAACATATGAAAAAGTGCTCAACCTCACAAGTCATCAGGGAAATTGCAAATTAAACCACAATGCAGTATCATGACATATCTGCCAGGATGCCTGAATATAAGATTGACAATAACAAGTGTTGGGAAGGATGTGAGGAACTGGAACTCTTTTCCAGTTAGATGGGAAAATGAGGAAACTATTGGATAATTTCAACTAAAGCTGAACAAATGCATATTCTGTGTGCAACAATTTCACTCATAAATGTATACATCTAGCAGAAAGGAGTCCTATTTCCACCAAAAGAAATGTACAAGAATGTTCATAGCAGTACTGATCATAATAACCAACAATTGAAAGCAACCCATATGTCCATCATTAGGAAAATGAAAAAATAAATTGTGTTAGAATAGAATGCTTTATATAGCTGTCAGTCTTAAGCTTTTTCTTCTGAAACAGCCTCTGAAAAGCTCTAAGATAGGAAAGACTTTGGAATGTCCTAATTGTTGAAAGGAGATTAATGTTGTAGTACATGGATAAAAGGAAAAAGGACTCAAAATGAGGTCTTCTAAGTAGGCAGAGGCCCTGTGTTCTCATGGAAAAAAATTGGATTTTTAAATTTCAGTTCAATAGGAAGCTACATTAGTTTGGTTATAGGTTTGGCTACATGTGACAGAGACTCAAAAATAATAATGGCTTAGACCATATGGGTTAATTTTCTTTTGCATTAAAGTCCAGGCTGGAGGGGAAGCTCTGCTCTGCAAAACCATCATGTGACATGACACCACATCCACAGTGGAGACTAAGGAAATGGGAGAATAGAGGATATGGGACATGGGCCAGCTGGCTGTTAAAGTTTCAGAAGCTACTATTTGATACTTATGCTTTTTTTTTTTTTTTTTAAGGCAGAATCCAGTTACATGGCATATTCTTCTGCAAAAGAGCCTGGGAAATGCAGTGTTTATATTGGGCAACCTTGTTCTCAACTAAAAACCATTGGTTCAATCCATATATAAAAGGGGAATAATAGACATTTGGGGACAATTAGCAGTCTCCATCTCATAATCCCTTGGTCTGGTGGAAAGTGTTAAACATACACTCTTGTAGATTCTGATTCAGTTGATCTCATTCTGAAACCAACTCTGGTAGATATGGATTCATTTGATCTAGAATGTTTCCTAAACATCTATAATTGCAGCAAACTCTGAGGTAGATCAAAATTTCAGAACAACTGGGGCACCCGGCTGGCTCAGTTGGTGGAATGTGTAACTCCTGGTCTTGGGGTTGTGGGTTTGAGCCCCATGCTGGGTGTAGAGATTGCTTAAAAATAAAATCTTAAAAAAAAAATTCAGAACCATTGACTTGATTTGTTAATTAACTCCCTCACTTTCTTTTCTGAGCTCTCATTTCTCTGTGTTCTCCTTACCGTTTTTTTTTCATTCAGTTGCATGATGATATTTTAGAGTTCTCCAAGACTCATCTTTTACGTGAATTATTTCCAGTTATCTCTCTTTGCTACCATATATATTTTCTTTTCTGACACGAAACCAGCAATTAAAGTGTGTTTCTTATCTTTCAGACTTGGTGTCCAGGTGTGAGGCCAAGAAGTTATCTCCAAAAGACATTTATGAGACAGAGTCATCCCAAAGGGCTATCATGGAAGACTTTAAAAGTCATAATCCTGAGAAATCCATTTTCAGAGATATTTGGGAATGCAATACTCAGTTTGAAAGACAACAGGAACAAGAGGGCTATTTCAGGCAATTTGTTATCAACCATGAACATATGCCTATATTTAACCAACATTCTTTACTAACTCAGGAATTTTATAATAGAGAGAAAATCTTTGGATGTAAAGAATGTAGAAAAAACTTCAGTTACCATTTATTTTTTAGTGATCACAGAAGAGCTCATTCTAAAGAAAAACTGTCTGAATGTAAGGAATGTGCAGAAATTCTTAATATATCATATCTTACTAAACAGAGAATTCAAAATAGTAACAAGTGCAATGAATGTAAGGAATGTTGGAGAGCTTTTATTCATTGTTCACAACTTAAGCAACACCTGAGAATCCATAATGGCGAAAAACGCTATGAATGTAAAGAATGTGGGAAGGCCTTTAATTATGGCTCAGAACTTATTCTGCATCAGAGAATTCACACTGGTGAAAAACCTTATGAATGTAAAGAATGTGGGAAGGCCTTTAGGCAGCGATCACAGCTTACTCAACATCAGAGACTTCATACTGGTGAAAAACCTTATGAATGTAAGCAATGTGGGAAGGCTTTTATTCGTGGCTTTCAACTTACTGAACATCTACGACTCCATACTGGTGAGAAACCCTATGAATGTAAAGAATGTGGAAAGACTTTTAGGCATCGCTCACACCTTACCATACATCAGAGAATTCATACTGGTGAGAAACCCTATCAATGTAGAGAATGTGGAAAGGCCTTTAGCTATCACTCAAGCTTCTCTCATCATCAGAAAATTCATTCTGGCAAAAAACCTTATGAATGTAGTGAATGTGGGAAGGCATTTTGTGATGGCTTACAACTTACCCTGCATCAGAGGATTCATACCGGTGAGAAACCCTATGAGTGCAAGGAATGTGGGAAGACTTTTAGACAGTGCTCACACCTCAAAAGACATCAGAGAATTCATACTGGTGAGAAACCTCATGAATGTATGATATGTGGTAAGGCCTTTAGACTTCATTCACACCTTATTCAACATCAGAGAATACATACTGGTGAGAAGCCCTATGAATGTAAGGAATGTGGAAAGACCTTTAGCTATCATTCAAGCTTTTCACACCATCAGAGAATTCATTCTGGGAAGAAACCTTATGACTGTGGAAAGGTTTTTAATCATGGCTTGCAATTTAATATACATCAGACACTTCATACTGTTGAGATGCCAGTAAGGTTTCCTCTTCTCTCTCCCCATCCTAGTCTAGCATGATGAAATTATTTTTAGAAATTTACATTTTCTTTTTTTTCTTCAAGATAAATGTTGGTAAAATAATGAATTTCGTTAGTATTGATTTATTTCAATGATCCTTGAAAAAAACTTCAAGCAGGGAAAATTGAAAAATTATTAACAGGTAAAAATTGCTCTAGTTCCAATGCTGTTTCTGAGTTATTATAATCAATATTGGAAATAAATTTTATAAATAGTGTTTTCACTGAAACCAGTGAAGTGGCAGAAATAAAATGAAAACAATTTCTTCCCTTCCCACACATCTGTGAGAGCCACTATGTGTGTGTTGCTCCTTCCTGCTCAAACATACCTGCAAATATGGAGGGTTTATTGCATGTATATGGAAGATTTTACCGCCTATAGTGACATATTTCACAGCAATTTCTTTTTGCACTTAAATAATTGTGGACTTTTTTCCAAGTGAATACATACAGATCTAACTTATTGTTTTTAAAGCTCCTGAATATTTCTGGTATAGGATGTATATACATATTTTAAGCCATTCCTTACTATAGACATTTGATTGTTCTATTTCTTTTTCATCCCAAAGGATCATACAGTAAATATTCTTATCTCATCATTCTTTTATTTCCATTGGGTAGATTGCCAACCGTGAGAGTGTATGTAGTTTTGATGTTACATTAATTTTTTAGTTAAAAAATTTAGGTAATAAAAATACATGCTACAAAATTCAAAAGTTATCAAACAAGTAAAGTAAGAATTAAAGCTTTCTTAATACCTGATTCTATAGGACCAGCTGTCAGGTCTTTTGTATTCTTCCAGGGATTAAATTTTTTAAATTCTTTGGATGAAAGTGGATTAATCATAATCTTTGTCTCATGAAATTCTCATCGTTCCAAATTTAGCCCTCTTTCATTTCAGTATTTCCAAGGGATTTACAGATGTGCCAACTATCAATTTACTGCCTGTCTTCTCCAAATCCTTCATTGCCTGCAATCCTTCGCTGCAATATTGGAACTCTCTCTTTTGTTTATAACATTATTTATCTGAGTCCTCTGTCTCTTTGTTTTTGGTTAAGTCAGACTAGCTAATAGTTTTTCAACTATATATTTTCAAAGGGCCAACCCTTGGTTTTATTGATCTTTTCTATTGTCTTTTAAGTATCTTTCATTTATATGCTCTTATATCACTTCCTTCCTTATGCAAACTTTGGGCTTAGTTCTTTTTTCTAGTTAATCTTGGGGTGTGAAGTTATGTACATAAGATTGTTTCCCCCTAATGTAGCTTTTATCCCTGTAAACTCCCCCATTAGAACTGCATTTATTATATCCCATATGTTTGTTTCCATTTTCATTTTTGTTAAGATATTGTCTGATTTCCATTTTGATTTCTGTTTTGATCAATTGGTTGTTCAGGAGTGTGTACTCCTGAATATGTATAATTTCCACATATTTGTGAAATTTTCCAGTTTTCCTCCTGTTAATGATTTGTAGTTTCATACCATTGTGGTCAAAAAAGTTACTTGATAGGATTTCAATCTTAAATGTGCTAAGACTTATCTTATAGCCTAACATACGATTTATGCTGGAGAATGTTGTGTGTGTTCTTTTTTTTTTTTTTTAATTT